GGGCCTTAAAAGTACAATAATTTTTCTGTCCTGGCCCGAGTACGTTTCTGGTGGCAAGGTAAATGTGACTTCCAGTAGCTCTGGGAGAACATTAGGAATTAAGACTGTTGTGGGCATATTTTAAATAAAAGTTCTCTTGGTTTTCCTGCACTCAGTCTGCTGTTGGGGAGCAAAGGAGAACAGGCACAGCAGGAAGCCAAGGCAGACCAGGAGGGTGAAACATGATGTCTCCTCAGCTGCTCTTGAACCACACAACCCTAGAGCTTCACCTCTGGGAAATGACAGTGTGAGAAACAAATAAATGCAATTACTACCATTAAGGCATAAAAATTAAAAGTCATTTGCCCAAATCCAAAATGAGCACCTGAGAAAGAAGGAAAGACTTGCAGGGGAAGCGATGCAGACCTTGCCTGACAAAGCAGGGCCCAACAACCCCTCCCAGTGCTGCTCACAGAAAGGTTCAGGCTGCAAGGAACCACAGGAGGTCATCTAGTCCAACCTCCCTGCTCAGGCAGGGTCCCCTATAGAACATTATTCAGGATTTTGTCTGGACAGCTCCAGCAAAATCATTCCACACCAACAGGAAAATACAACCCGTGACCAATTCCATGAGAAATTTTCTTAAGATGCTTTGACCAAACAGCCTCTGGTGGTAAGTTATCAAAAGCCAGTTCAGTCTGTGCAGTGGAGTGACAAAATGACCCAGTTTGTCAGTGCAGATCACAGGAGCAGTCTCAGTCCTGCTGTTAAATCCCACCATTCCCAGAGCCAGGCCCTCGGATGCTGCACTCCGACCTGTGGATTCATTGTGCTCCAACCTTGGATTTTTGTGGGCTACAGAAGATTGTATGAAAATTAAGGGAGATTAATTATTTTTAAGTGAATTGTTTTAAATTAACTGTGTTAAATTACTTTAGAAATCCTGCCTGATCTATAGTTCAAAAGGAATTCCAGCTCCATTGCAGGACATTCCCGCAGCAGTTTGGAGCATGGGAGCAGCTGTGACAGAGGTTTATTTTAACTTCAGCTGGCAGGACTGTGCTCCAGGATTTTGTAATCACAAACTGCCTGATTCTCCCTCCTGCCCCCAGGAAATGGGAAGAAACAAGCCAGTGACTCCTGATTTCCACCATCATGAGGATGAACCACTCACACTTGTAAGTGCTGCTCTCTGTGGGAGCCACACCAAAATGATAAAGAAATGGAAAGGTTTCTGTGATAAGATCACCTGAAAAGAAAGGTTGTAACAAATGTACCTAATGTTGTGGCACTGGATGTAATTGAATTATTATGAGAGGATTAACAAAATCCTGCAAGAACAATCTGACTGCCATGACTTCCCCTCCTACTCCTGCCACTGAATAATACATCACAAACGGGAAATACTGTGGATTAGGAGGGGGCTTGGAATTAGGAGTTCAGGGGTTTAAAGGAAAATCCTAGTTTTTCTGGCCTGGTTTGGAATGCCAGCCCTCCTTGGGCAGTGGGGCAGTAACACTTTCATCTTGATCTCACGGGCTTAAGTCCAGCATCACTTCTGAGTCCCACTGATGCAGCTGTGACACGAGAAAAGAGAACCTGGGCCGTGAGATCCCAGCCCTTCAAAATCGACTTTCTTCTATTGTGAGTCAGGATAAAGAGATTGGAGGTTAAATATATGTGGAAATAAATATGAATACAGGAGAAACAACTGAGAATAAAAAACATTCTGAACTCGGCCCAGATCTTTCTGATGAACGACCTGACGTGACCTAAAGACACACCACAGTTTTGCAAGGACCAGAAGACACCACATCCACTGTGAGCTCTCGGTGCTTGCTGGCTCCTGGAATGACTCCCTATGAGCTGCAACTGGCTCAGACTCCCAGGTTATGTGTGTAGTGATTAACGAAAGGGGAAAGCAACTTCTGCTGAGGAGTGTGTTGGGGCAAGGAGGTCCTAAACACTGCTTGTATCCTACTGTCTCTCTGATGCTGCAGCCTGAGCGGCTTTAAGGTGACCATTCCTCCCAAAAAGGCATCCCCTGTTCCTGAGTGAGGCTTTCCCGGGGGTGGGTGTGTTTCTGTCATGCTCCACCTGCTTCTGATCTCCCCGTGGCCCTACCAGGCTGATCTGTAAAAGTGGCACTAACAGTGGCACTGCTGACTTTCCCAGAGTGTAGCAGCTGTTTGGTGCTGAAATGTGAAGGGAAGATCAAGGATACAAAGTGATCTCTGTACCCTTCCCCATATACAAATAGTCTTTTGTTTCCAACCAGCATTTGCAATAAATAGATCTATATCTGTGCTATAGCTGTTCCTATATAAAATTTACCTTCTGGACTCAGGCTACTAATATCATTTTGGTTCAGCCAGGCCTCCAAGGCAGGATTTCCATTATTATGGAGATGAACTGCCTTTAATGACTGCAATAATATAATTGTACCCCAGGGCAGAATTTCTAATAACACAATTGCACAGTTCTCAACCACCAGCAAGAGATGCCTTCAGGCCATGTTATTCATTAGAGGTGCAGAACACACCACCTCAGCCTCCAGAGAAGAATACGAAACCTAAACCAATAAAGCTCTTTTTTTTTAACCATCGTAGTCTCCGCTCTCCAAGCAAACATTGAACACCACACTTCATTTTGCCTCCTGGGCAGCAGTGGCCTCCAGAGCAAGAGTCCCAGCAGCAAAAACCATGCACAGCGTCTCCAGCAAGGAGTTTAATGTTACACAACAGCTGAAAAGTCACAAAAAGCCCCAGGAGAAACTGTGGAGCGATTGCCATGGCAGCCGGGAGGCTGAACATCAGAATTCAGAGCAAGGACTGACACAGTAACATTGCTTTTAACTCCCCCTGGAATTGGAAGGATCATCTATATTGATTAACCTTCACGTGGTCAACCTTCAGCCTGGAGAAGTATCCAGGTGTTCAGGTGCCTCTCTGGAACTCGAAGGATTCTTTAATGTCAGTTTAAGCAGAGATTTCATTTAAGTTTCTTCTCCCACACCTGTCTGAAAGTTCTGTTCCCTGTCCTAGATGCAGAGATGTCAGCAACAGCTTTTCCTGGCGTCTTTCTTCCTAGATTTCAATGGAGTTTTTCCACAGCCAAGAAAGTTCTTGTTCAAAGTCCACGCACAGCATGGGTATAAGGAGATACTAGGGCAGGACTCCAGTCGAGGGACAGCAGGAAGGAGATAACATTTCAGAAAATAAAGAAACCAGGAATACAGCAGCAGGAAGCAGAGCACAGGCCCTTGGCCCCTTGTGCCCGTGCAAGCAGATGGTGCTGAGGATCAACGCCACAGTCACATCAGACAACCTAATCTCCTAATTGTGCACTTCACACAGTCCCCAGGTACAGCCTGCAGGGATGGTGTGGTTGATAAAGGTGGTGGCAAGGATTCAAGGCCCTGGTGCCCACGGGAGACACAACTAACGGCGTGAGAGCCACGCAGGTCCAGCTGCCAAGGCAACGGAGCGCTGCTCACCGAGGCACTTTGCCAGAGAGTCCCCACTGGATGATCTGGCTGGCACAAAAACCCCTGGGCTGAAGGAGCTGAAGATTTCACACCTGCTTGGGCACGTTTCACGTCTGGTTTCCCATCCAGGGCTGGGTGCCCAGGTGGGAGGCTCCTGGTTCTGGCACAGCAGGAGCAGGAGGAGTGGGCACCGAGTGCCTGCCCCTCAGCCTGGCCGTGTTTGCATCCCAGCTGAACACTGCACTGCTCAGAGGAGGTGGGGACCCACAACCCACCTCCCAGCCCTGCCTGGGCAGTCCCGCTCCTAAGTTCACGTGAGGAGCAAGACCTGTGCCATGCTGAGGAGAACAGCCTCAGAGAACACAGTTCCTTCTGCTCCAGAGCACGCCAGTGAGGACGGGGGGACAGATAGGACCTCGTGGGGCTGATCCAACACTTCAGCACTGAACACCTCCCATTCTTTGCACCATCTTCACCAGAAAAGCAGGTCATTTCAGTTTTAAAAATCAATATGCCTTGCTCTGTGATAGCTTTGACCTCACACAGCTTTGTGCCCTGCCTGAGGAAGCTTTGTGTCATCCATCACCCAACGCTTTTCATCCCCAGGGGTGAAGCTGAACAATCCACACACAACAGCTTTGCAGAGAGCAGGGGAAGAAACTAAATAAGTCAGAAATAGGGTGTTCGATATTTCAATAATCTGGCTTAAAATGAACTGTGGCTTTTTGCACATTCATACACATCACCACAGTATATATTTCAATGTACAGAGTGGTTGAGTGGAGCAAGATTAGACTTTCCAAGATAAAAGAGGAGCCCTAACAGATTTAAGCTTTTCAATATATCAATTTCCTGTAATTTCTGGCTTTTTGACCTTTAGGCCAGGATTTTCCCCAGCAATCCTAGTGGCACATCATATTTTGGAGGAGTGTCAAGGACAGCTCTCTGTGTCCTGCTCTCAGGCAGGACAAATGGGACAGGTAACACAACCTCACCTCTACACCAACAACACATCACTGTGACACCACGTGAAGATTTGAAAGGTCGGCTCCAACTTCCTACCAACGCTCTCCTTTTGAATTTTAAAGAAAGAAAGAAAAAAAATTACTTGACCAGTCTGCAAAAGCCATCTCCAAGTCAGGTTTCAGGACTGCCAAATTAATTGCTGACCCCAAATAATTTCTATTTGCAGGGCAGTGACTCATGGACCAGAGTTGTGTAATGTGTAGTGGAGACTTTTATTTCCTGGGTATTTTTTTTTAAACAATGGCTATTTAGAGTGATGCAGAGGCAAAATATTTGTTTTTTTGGAGTGCATCTTTATCAGCTTCTTGGTAGGGATGCTTTAGTAGCACACAGAGATGGGGTGGGCACAATGGGAATAGGAATCTCACAGCTCCTTGTGATTGAACAGTTACCACACGCATTTGCAAGTCAATTTTGTGAAGCTATTAATGACAAATTCAGCTTTCACTGCTGAAAGTCCCTGGGTTGGAGCAAGTTAATGAAAGAAATGGTTACTTTAAGACATTACCTCTCATTTTCTCTCAGGATGTCTTTTCCTTTCTTCCAAGAATAAGTAGGTCTGGGGGAAGCTTTGGGCTTACACTCAATGATGACTTCACCACCCACTTTCACGAGAGTTAACTTTTTCAGGACTGTTTTGGAGAAATCTGGACCAATGGCTGAAAGAAAAAAAACAACACAAACCATATCAGAATTCCCTCTGGAAAAACCAAATTCATACTCTTTGGAACATTACAATATTCCAGGGCTGTTTCTCACTTAAAATTCCTAAATGATGGGACTTTGTGAACCACGTGCAACAGGGCCAAACCTGAGAGCTTCAAGTCTTGGTTAAAAATGTATGTTTAGCCAAAAAGCTTAGAAAGCAGTAACCCCCCCATGCACATTTTACTGAGGGGAGCACCCCTAAGAACCACACTTGCATGGGGTGCATGGAGAATTTCCTTTTTTGTGTCCTGATCATCCTTTTGTCAAACAACAGTACGCAGGAAAATTGGCACAAACACAGAACCCACACAAATAATCAGACATGTTAACATTTCCAGAAAAGTTGACATTTTTATGCTTTCTATTCATAATTGTTGCATAAACTGGGTTATTTATTTTAATTTTGTAAAGGTGGGAGACCGTGGCATGGCCAGGTCCTGAACCAAGCAAAACAATGAAGACTTGTTGGCGCCAGGGCACAAGGCATTCTCAAATCACCTCTTTTAGTCCCTGCAGAGCATACTCTTGTTTGGTGAAAAACAGTCAGATACCCATTGAACCAACCCCCAAAGCCCTGCAGACAATCTGCAGTCTGGCTTGGAGGCAGGACAGGGAGCAAGGAGGTGCCTTGGCTTCTGATCCTGCCTCAAAGGCTTTTTAATGATACATTTGATGGGACCCGATGACAGGCAGAGCTCTGAGGCAGCTGCCTCCAGACTGACTCAGGCAGTGAAATCCCCAAAGATGACCAGAAGGTTTTATTTATATCAAGGAGGACAATTAATTTTTTCAATACAGAAAACTCAAAGCAAACAGGTGAGGTGGCTTAAGGGGTTTTATGAACAACTCTTGCCCTGCTCGCTGTGTTTTGCTGTCAGGAGCTCAGCTTTGTGACGGATCAGTGGCAGCAATCCCTGCCCAGTCCCCTCTAGCTCTCTCCATCCTCTCTGACAGCTCCATGCCTGCAGCCTGCACCTCCTGCTCCATCCATCCCTGGATCCCTCCCAACGTTCTCCTTGACTTGCTCTTTTGCTGCACCCTGTGAGATGAGAGTTTAGATCACTGTGCTTTGCACCTTCTCGATGCTCCAACACAAGATCTAAAGTTCACCTGCAGCAGCTGGGAGACAAAACCCAGCAAATTCACTGTTCTCAGGGCATCTCATCTGCCTCAATCCTTTTGGATATCGTTCCTGCTGCAAAGGAGTTGAATGAAGCCCAATCCTACACTGATAATGGGACAGGCTTTATGATCCAATAGTGCTCATCACCCGCTTTTATGAATCCGAGTTCACTCATCTCTGAGCTGCCTTGTCTTTCACGTCAAATCACAGACTGTTGACTTCACTTTGGCACAGAGGAAGACAGGTGTGGTATTAAAGACTATAAAAGAGCCACCTGAAAACAGCAGTGGGTTTGCAAAACACTTCAGAATTAAAGGAGGTATCCTGAGGGCAGCGTCCCACGGATGCACTCAGAACCAGACAGATTATTATTTACATCATGTGTCATTATTAATACATTATCACTTCTGGAACTAATTTCTCAGATGATTCTTCCAAATTTATGAGCAAAACAGATTTTTGAATAATCCTGTTGTTTCCATCTCTGTGATGAACAGTTTAGTCTGGGTTTCTTTGTGAGTCATTTGCTATTTTTTTCTCGGTCCTGTGTGAGACAGAGGAGTTGCTCAATATGGGGTTTATTTTGTGACGTTCAAAACGTTGTCATTTGACATTTAGAAACTCTGGACTCACTTCTCAACACTACCACAGCTTCCCTCTGCCACTTAAAATGCATTTAATTTCTTCACACTTTGTTTTGAAATTGAGGATTTTAATGATTTCTTTTTTCGACTGCAGGCCCACTCCGTTGATTTATTATTTTTAAACATTTAGCCTGAAAATTCTGAAAGATACTGACTGCACCTTGCTATATGTATTTCACACTGCCCAGCACAACAAGGTTCTGCTTTTATTTAAGGACTGCAGGCAATATAATTGGCAACAATAAATGAGAAGAATCACTCTGAGAAAAGCTCTGTAATTTTCCATTTCTCTTTTTACACTTAATTTTGCTGTAATTCTCACTTGCTATTAGTGATCTTTCATCATCTCAAGTGCTTAGCTTTAGGACCTTTTAAAATAACCATTTGAACACTCAGATCTGTCTGAAAGCTAAAATTTATCAAGGAGGGCTCAGAATGTTGCCCTCCTTTGAAAGCTCTAGAGAAAAGGCAAACATGTTGCTTACCTTTCAAAACATGCCAAGTTAAACCACACATCCACAGAAATTTATCTGCAGCACAACTTTTTGTGTGACATACAGAAGCAAGAGTGCATAACCCCAGTGAGAAGTTGGCCAAGTAAAAGTTCTCTGATGGGTTTCTAAGCTCAAGGTCTTCAGGATCTTTGCTTTTCATATGGACACGAGGTACAACAAGGGCTAAATCTCTCCTGAGAACATCTCCCTCCCCCCCAAACCTCCTTTTTACCAGCTTTTAAATAGACAGGAAAAGCATCAGTGGGTTTATTTCGATTTCTTTCATGCACTAACACGTCCAATAAATCTCAGCATTGTGATGTCTAATTTATTGAGCATTATCGTCCTTTTCTCAAACAGCAACACAGCCAATCCTTCAAATGAATTTTTTTCTACTCAGGCATCTATCACTGATGATAAAAAATGACCAATAATTGAAAATGCCACGCTGGGAAAAAAAACCCCGTGCTTTGTTCTTCAGGATAAAACAGGGACTGCTGCTATCGAACATGTGGTTTGAAAACAACACTGTTTTGTCATCAGGAATTCTCTTTAACCCTTTAGAACTACATCTCTGTGCTGACACAGCATTTTCCAGGCCTGCCACCCATACATGAACAACATTTGTGAAGGAGTTGCAGGCTGGCAGGACATCCAGGGCTGGCAGGGAGCTCTGGGATGGTCCCATCCCACCCCAGCTCCACCAGGAGCAGCTACAGCAGGTTGCCCAGGGCCATGGCCAGTTGGATGTTGAGTATGTCCAAGGACAGAGAGGCCACAATATCTCTGGACAACCTGTTCTAGTGTTTAACCAACCTCATAGCAAAGCTTTTCCCATGTTTAAGTGGCATTTCCTGTGTTTCAGATGGTGCCATTGGGTCCTCTCTTGGCACTGGGCACCCCTGAGAAGATCCTGGCTCTGGAATCTCTACTCCTTCCCATCAGGAATTTCACTACTTGGATTCACATGAGCTTCTCCTGATGTTAACTGGGAGGAGCAGGGCAGGTGTGCACAAAACAGGTGGGGCAGAAGCTCTTTTCTTGGAGAAGGTTTGGGAGGAGAGCATTTTGGTTGCCATTGGAATGGTGAAAGGTCTATTCAGACAGGAGGTTTGTCAGCTTCTACTCAGCAGAGTCACCTCTGCAGCCCACTCTGAACACTTTGGTTTCTCCATAAACATTTCTAACCAGCAAGAGACTGAATGCACTTGCCAGCTCTCCATGCTCTGTCACCTGGAGGAATATGAGAGTATGGGATGATGTAAAAAAATCTGTTGTCTATCTACCCACTGTCTCAAGTTTTCACTTCATGCCTTCCTCAAACACAACAACTTGCCAAAGATCCCCAGCAGCACTTCTGCTTCAGATGCTGAAACTTGGCAAAACCTGCTTGGGTGAAGATCTTTCTGGTTTTGGGAGGTTTGCAGGGCTCAGGAAAGCAGACTTACCTATGACACTGAGCTCTGCACTGGTGAAAATGGTACCATGTCTGTTCTCTGCCACACACTGATACATCCCAGCATCCGACAGGCTGACGTTGGTGATGGTGAGGGAGCCCTGCTCCAGCTGAACTCTGCCCTGTGGGGAACAGGACAGCAAACTGAAGAGTAAACAAGGAGATCCTTACTTGGAACATAAAGCCAGAGGTTGCTGTGCTATCTTTTATACCAAGGTGGGCAAAAATACGTAGCAGGAAGAATTTGCATGTTCCAATCTATTTGTCTGCCAGCCAAATTTATGTCAGGTTAGAGACTAAATGGTAAAACCAATACAGTAGTTGGTAAATGCAATTTAAATTGGAGGACTTTCCCTTGACCTCTCATTGATTTAATACCCAAACCATTTAGATTAATATCCCTTTCAAGTAGATAAGCTTGAAGCAAAAAATGCATTTCGTTCCACAGTGGCACATCAGAGCCAGACCCAGTGCTCAAAAACATTTGAAACAATGGTATTTTTGTAGAAGCACAGTATCACTGAAGTTGGAAAAGACCTCCAAGATCACTAAGCCCAACCTTTGACCTAACACCACCCTGTCCCCCAGCCCAGAGTACTCAGTGCCATGTCCAGCCATTCCTTGGACACCTCCCTGGGCAGCCTCTTCCAGTGCCTGACCACCCTTTCCAGGGAGAAATTCCTCCTGATGTCCAATCTGATCCTCCCCTGGCACAGCCTGAAGCCATTTTGAGCATATATAGCAATGAAGGCTGGTAAGACTGGTTGTCATCTTAGCCAGCACAGAGAGAAATACTTAAAATCCTCTGAAATTTACTGAAAACAATGGAGATGTTAATAATGTGATGATCTTTTAGTTCATATCAGCCTCTAACATGATTAAAGTACAAGAGCATCTGCCAGTGACCAGCATGAAGCAAGTAAAATTAGTGTGTGGCAAAAAAGACCAGGCTACCATTTGTCAGCCTAAGGATATGGAGCTCATGTTATCAATTCTGATAAGTACAGCAAAGTGCTCCCTCCCTCCCTGGGAGTTCTGACATTTAAAAAAAAAAAAAAAAATTAAAATAAAGAGTTATTGGTTTTCTGCGTGGCTGCAGGGTAGAAATTTAATGTTTGTGCAATCTGTGTTGGGGTTTGATCAAATCTTGGCTGCCATGGTTCTTTCATGGTAAGTGAAGGGGAAAAAGTGTGAACTGCTGTGAAACCAAAGTTGTGGTGACTTGGTTTAGTTTGTGGTTATAGTGGGGGATCATGGACTGAGGCTGGGCAAGGGGTGCATCTCCACAGCTCCTGCCCAGGGACACAACTCAGCAGGAGTGGGAACACCACTGGAAACCAGCAGCAACACCAAGGTTTCACCATCACTTGAAGTTCACTTGAACATCACAAATTAAAAACACTAGGGTGACCATTTTCAGCCTCATTCAGCCATTCCTTCTGTTTCACAGGGGTCTCTCCACCCTTAGGTTTGTACCTTGGACCCTTCATTTTGGGGAGCAGCTCTGCTGCTGTGTGTCTCACTCAGCACTGACAGCAGCTCTCCTGGAGCTGCTCACCAGGGTGGGGATTTACTGGGAGGGTGGGGAGGCCCTGGCACAGGCTGCCCAGAGAAGCTGTGGCTGCCCCATCCCTGGAAGTGTCCAAGGCCAGGCTGGACGGGGCCTGGAGCACCTGGGCTAGTGGAAGGTGTCCCTGCCCATGGCAGGGGGGTGGCACTGGATGATCTTGAGGGTCCCTTCCAACCAAACCCACTCTGTGATTGTAGAGCACCCCCAAAATGAATCAACACCCAGAGATCAATTCATCCCAAAATGAATAAACACCCAGAGATCAGAGAGCTGGCAGAGCATCGAAGAACCTGCCAAGCTGTGACTCTGTCAGCCCAGGGAAGGGCTCTGGTGGTGCCCACCTGGGCCAGCAGAGGCTCCCCATCCTTCAGCCAGTGGTACGAGGGCTTGGGTCTCCCGCCGGCCCGGCATTCCCAGGACACACGTTCCTCTATGGCTGCGTGGACATCACTGATCTCCTGGATCCAGCTGGGCTGAGCTGCAAAGCAGAAGCATAAAACCTTGTGTTTGGAACCAACACTGTGCCCTGTGGGTGCAAGTGGTCATTTCTTTCTTCACCTGCAAGTTTAAATGTTGGATTTAATAACATGATTAATAATTGCTACAGAGTGTTTTTCTTCCCTGAGTCCAATTCTGCTTTCTGAAGGTGGCAAGATCAGAACCCACTTTTATTTTTAGTAAAAACTCTTAATTAAAAAAAAGAAACTTCAGAAATCCTGATCATCATACAAAACCAAAGCAACAGCTCATCTGCTGCCCCAGTGGAATAAATGACACTTTTACACCCCTGGTCCTTCAAATAAAGACATTTTCCTCTTCAGTACCTGTATGAATTAGGCTTCAAAGCTCTAAAATTTAGCATCCAGCTTCAAAACTTGTAATTTAGAACTATCTCTTAACTGAAATTAAGGTTATTCCAGTAACCCAGGCCTATGTGGTTACAAGCACTACGTCAGGTCCAAGCTCTGAGTCTTGTCTTAGATTAGGGCCATATCCACATGGAACATCTTCCACGTGTATGAGAAATCTTTGGACCCAACAGCTAAATTAATGACATGGAACAAACCTACAAAGTCCAAAAACAGGTATTGGAGGCACATTTTGGTAAAATGTGGTGAAAGCTGCCACTTGCAGTTTTCAGACACTCGTGAGATTATATTTTTAATCGAGTTTTACATATTTTTATCACTGTTATTGTTGGCTTTTTTTTTTTAATAGAGTCTAAATTTAGCCAGGCTGCACATGTAAATCAAATTGCCACTAAAATTGCCACGTTTTTGGAGACCATAAAAAAACCCTCAGAGTTTCTCATGTTACCTTCATAAGCCCCATTTGTCTAGACAGACCTACAACAGTTTTCACAAAGTCCCATTAAAAGAGTGAGTTCAGATTTCTTTAATGGCCACTTGTCCTGTTCTGACACCAGAAAACCTGACTTAGCAGGAAGGTATTACCAGTAGAGGTCCCCAAGAACCTGATTAATACTTTTCCCCATGTAATCAGATAAAAGAAAAAATTAAGATTACTCAAAGAAAGGTAACAACTTTGGACAGAGGCTGGGGCCAGAGATGTGTCTGCAAAGATAAATGAAAAAATATCATATCCAAGTGGTAAGTTGGTGTGATTATACCCAAAATACTGGTTTGTCTGCGATGATGTAATGATGGAAATTCACATTCAGAGAGCTGAGTGTCTTTGAGAACTGTGCTGAGGCTGGGACAGACTTGTTTAATCCCACACCTTTCACCTTCTTACGGTGCCCAGAAAAAGCTGGAGGGTTTTGCAAAGCATCTGAGCTCCAAGGGACAGGCAAGACACAAGCAAAAGAGGTACTTAAAAGGAGAGGCGAGCACTGTTTATTTCTCTGACTGCCCCTCCTGCCCCTGTAATATTTTAAGCTTGTTTATTGTCTGTATCTAAAGAGACATGAAAGGGGAAGCCTTTAAATGTAGGAAGATGAAAGGCAATTCTGGCATGTGGATAAAGAACTTGAACAATTCCATCGAGCCGAGACACGCTGAGCGACTGCAACGGGTTCAGTGGCTCAAGGACATTTGCAAATTACTCCTGAATTTACATATTTACTATTCTAACAGCATCTAACTCATAATTTTGAAGAAAATCTTATGATACTGTAAGAGGAGTTTTATAAAACCTACACAGATCCATTTGCTTCTTTTTTTCTTTTTTCTTTTCAATGCTGTTTTATGGATTACCCACATGAAAACACAAAAAGTCAAGACAAAACAGCTGGAATTCACCTGTAAATCAGGAAAACTCATGGAAAGTAAGGTGTGTTCTATAACATAAGTGTAAAAAGAAAGGTAAGTCCTGTGTGAGGAGGAAAGAAAATTCAGGATTTACCCTCATTTCAGGCAGACTCCCCAAATAAGTGAAATTGTCACCCAAGGCAGCAAAAGGCACTTCTGGGGGCACTTTGCAGGTTTCTGACCCGAACTCCTGCCCTGGCAGTGCTGAGATTGAAATGTGCAGTGCTGGAAGCTGCCACCCCAAAAATTCCCATCACCCCTTGGTGCGGCACCCACGAGCCACAACCTAACATCCCACGCCACCCTCCACCCCCTCCAGTTATTTTAATGGAATAGATTTTCAATTCCAAAGCCATTTTTGATGCAGACAACTAAAGAAGGAGCAGAACAGGTCACAAATTAACTCAGCGAAAAGCGTCGGAGTCCTTTGTTTCGCGGGAGCCTCGTTGTTGCTGCTCTTTGGGAGACTTTTCTAATTAGGTCAACCTCTCCTTTCAAGAGTTCCTTGCAGAGAGGAGCAGCCACGCTCCTGACTTAATCTTGGGGAATACTCAAGGGTTGGTTCAAGCAGCAAATATGTTTGAGCCACCAAATGAGAGTCACCACAATATAATGGAATTTGACAGCTGCCCATTGGGGACCGTACCAAGACACGGAAATGCAACACAAGATTTCAAGCATGATAATTAAAATAATTCAAATAAGGGGAGGAAAGCAGCTCCACACTACTACAACATCTTCTGATATAGTAACATTATTTGAAGTAATGACAAGGTTTAATTTGTGACTGGTAGAAGCGGTCAAGAAAAAAAACCCTTGGGATCATTTCAGTGGCATCGACCAAAGATGAATTCTTTTGGGTCTGGAAATATTTTGGTCCTATTTGGAGTATTTAAGGTATTACTGGCCTTGGAAACATCCTGGAGGAAAAATCTGGAAGCTGATTAAGAATTCATCTGAGTTGCAAGAAAAATTCATATGCTAAATCTACAAAGTGGAAGAAAAAGTTTAGAGAGAAGCACGACTCTTACATAAGGACAGCTTTGAAGGAAAATGTCCCCCTCCTAGGAGATGAGAGCTGTCTGGAATTAGTACTCAGGGGGACAGAAGAAAAATGATGGCAGTAGTTAGAAAAAAAAAAAACATTTACCTTTGATCACCTTCCAGTCTTCACCAGCGCCAAGGGGGGCATTTCAAACCAGGTGATTATTAAAAAATACCCAAATATAATCTTACTTCTCTAAGACAAAAAAATCCACAAGGACTCTGTCCTTCATTGTAATAAACTGAAAAGCAGAAGTAGGCACCGGAAACCTGGACCAGAAATCATGTCCTAAAAGACATTTTAAAAATGAAGCAAGGTGGCCACTGATGATACATCACATCAGAAATGAGTAACAAACCCACAGAACTATGGGAGCAACAGGAGAAAAAAAACCCAGAAATAAACCTGCAGGACTTTGCAATCATCTCTGAGTTCAAAACAACCAAAAAAAGACTCAAGCAAATGAGGTGCTAATACATACACAGAATCCAATTCTCGGTCGGCGTATATTGATCTCGGTGTTCCTAAGCCAATTTCTAGCAGCTGATGACCTGGTGCAGGCTGTGTAATTCATCATTAATGGCACATGAAAGGCTGAACAACTTGTCCATTACTAGATCTATTCTAAGGAGACTGAGGCTGAGCCCAGGATCAGAAAAGTCTAAAGACCAGAGAGCCAAGCATGAGAAGTGAGAAAAGCAGATGGGAAAAACAGAGGAAATGAAGAGTGCAGCCAGGGTGTGAGGTTTGTGCAGACCATGCACTGCTCCAAAGGGGGATGCAGCTCCTGGACACAAACCCCTCAGGTCTCTGATTTGTTATCCTTCCCAACAATCACAGCAATGTGAAACCAGACCTCCAATTATCACTCTTCCTCTCTCTTCCCCTCATCCTGACTTCTACTGCTAATTAAGGATTATTTGAAACCTGTACAACTTCCAGCTGTGCTAATCCTCCACCAAACCAACCTGCTTGAACGTTGCACCCAAAGGATGTCCAGTTGTCTGTGTCTTTGGAAAGATCTCCAGATCCTGCCACTTGGGCAGGATGTCTCCTTTCTGCCTCTGGCCATAGGGAAGCAGCCTGGGAGTTCTGCTTGGGGACTAAAATATTAAATACCAGAAGAAATCTGAAGGAGTTAACTTAGCTGATAAAAAAGAATTAAATTATCCTTATCTCTCATTTACTTCTTGTTCCATGAGCTGTTCTGCACCATTACATGACTTTCTCCCAAGTTATCCCAGGCACCAAATGACTGTGGACAGTTCATTAAGACCAGTTCTCGGGGATTTAGTTATTTTTCATCCCTGATACTCCACACTGCAGCTACTCAGGGGTGTAAGGAAGGTGTAGGGTGCTCCATGAGCCTTCACACTTCATTTCTCATATCTATTTGTATTTTTGCTTCTCCTGCTCCAGAGCTATTTTTCCAAGCCACAATGATAATAATTTGAGCACTTTTTCTAAATCTCCTCAAAATTGGATTTCTCTGTAAGCAGGTTTCCATCAATCCCTTGGAAAAGGGAAAATGGAGGAGAAACACACCTGTTCTCTGTGCAAAGACTTTTTCTGGATGCAAGACTTCCCACGGGCAGCAAATAATTCAAAACTGAAGAGTTATTCCCTCCTGCACTAACAGGAACCTCTGTAACAGGCAGCAACAGGGTTTGCTAGGGAGTGATGTAAATGATAATTAATCATAATATACACTTGCCCTATTTACGTGAAATTTCTTGTATTTTTATCAGTCCAGAAACTCGTTTTATTTAAAGTGGCTTTGAATTTTCAGTAAATTATTTGTGATTTGGGACCTAAACTGAGCTGAGACATAAAACTGCCTGATTTTCACTTATGCAAATTTCCTTTTTAGACCTCTAACCATAATGAAGAGCATAATATGATTTACATTGGAGGTTGTTTTATAGAGTGGCATAAAGTAGCTCTCACACAAATAAAACGGGCTTGCTGATGAAAAGGGGACTTTTTTCACTGCAAAATTAAGGAGCTGCATAAATTCCTGGTGGGACTTTGATTTGAGAAGTATTTAATGTGAAAAGCGGTCCAGTCAATTAAATGGCTTGTGCTGAATATCTTACAAAATGCTGCAAAGAACTGTAATTAGTGACAAATAAGTCTGTCTGTCCTAATGCAGATGCTGCTGCACTGGCACTTTTGGAAACCATTCTGACTGCATTTTTTTCCCTCCTTGCCTTGGCTCTCCAACGAGGAGCGGATGAGCTCAGGAGAGAGATGCTGGAGCACCCTGGAGCTACACAGATAATGCTGAGTCAGCACCCACACCTGTGCTGGTTGAATCTGAGCCAAGTACCACTTGGATATTTTCCACTGCTGATCTGACTGGAAAGCCAGTGACAAATTGCATGGTTATGGCCAAAATTCTGGCAGACAAACATTCCTGGTGGTGGTGCAGCTCCTCAGCCTGTCCTGGAGTGCCTGTCCCCACCCCTCCCAGTGCTGTCACTCCCAGTCCCACTGTTTATATTTGGATCACCTCGACCAGCAGCCGTTTTTCCTTTTCTTCCCATTATTCAGCCTGTGCATTTTGTTGGGAAGGGGGACATCAAGATGTTGCACTGACTTGTCAGAGTCAATCCAGGGAAGCAGAGCCCAGGGGTTTAAACACCAGCACAACCATCTTGTTTCATACTTTGATAAAAAAATACGCTCATATTTTAAAAGAGTCCAGGAGAGCAGTGTCCTCGTGGTAGCACAGAGACTTTTGAGTGCTGGTCAGCAGGGAGAACCTGGCCAAAGCACATCAGCAAATCTAGAGAATCATAAAGGTTGGAAAAGCCCTCTGATATCATTGAGTCCAGCCACGAACTCAGCTCTGCCAGGCCACCACTAACCCATGTCCCCAAGTGCCACACCTACACAGCTTTTAAATCCCTCCAGGGATGGGGACTCCCCCACGGCCCTGGGCACCCTGTTCCAATGCTTAACCACTTCTTCAGTGAAGAAGTTTTTCCTAATATCCAACCTAAACATCCGCTGAAGCTGTTTGCTCTCATCCTATCACTTGTTACCTGGGAGAAAAGGTGGATCCCCAGAAGGGGCAGAGGAGCAGTGAGGCTCTCATCAATTGTAGGAAAGGCTTTGAGCACAGGGATGAGCAGCCAAACCAACATCTTATGAGCTCAGACTGCCAATTGCCTCTTTATCCTGCACTTAGGACAATCTCTAGGATGCAACTGTTGGAAGATCAGACTGAAACAGCATCTAAATTTCCCATGAATGAAACAAGGTCAATAATAAATAAGCATCTCCTTGCTGCCATTTTTATGAACGAGAAGGCAATTTCTTTTTAAATTAGCTGGTTAAGGTAATCTGTTTACTGCACTTCTGCCAAGAACCAAACAACTGTTGGCACTGCTTTCTGCTCGGGGGATAAATCAGAGCCTCGTGGAGGGTTATCAAATTTAAAATTTATGAGCAGCCAGATTAAAAATAGAATCAGGTCAATGGGAGTGCTTCCCAAATGCTGTGGATCAAAACACACGGAGAGAGCGGAGAGTTCAGTGGGAAAACAGGCCCTGGGAGCACAGGTAGTGGTTCAGCCCGTGCCGTGGCTGTGGTGACACCGGGTCACACCGGGCACCTCACCTGCCTCAGCCACAGGGATTTACCTGGCACAGGGTCTGCATGGAACAAGCAAAGTCAGGAAGGCAGCAGGATGTGCCTTTCTGGCTGCTAAAGGATGGAAGAGAGGAGATTTTGCAGTTTGATTTGTTAATTCAGAATCACAGAGTATTCTGAGTTGGGAAGGACCCACGAGGATCGTCAAGTCCAACTCCTGGCCTCGCACAGGACACCCCAAGATTTACACCACGTGCTTTGCTCAGGAATTAACTTGAGGCACGTGGTATCTGGTTAGGAATAGGAGAGAGAACAAGAGGCACAGCTAGGAAACAAGTGATGTGTTGTTCAGAGCCACATCAGTCAAGGAAAGAGGGATAAGTGACTGTAATTGCATTAACAGGAACATGTTGCCATTGTGAAGGTCTATCCATCAAGTGGGACATGCAGCACTTGGAACAAATGCTCCTGGAGAGCAATAAAACACAGCCTGTTGCAGGGGCCCAAAGCACAGAAAATGGAGGAAGAACAGATCTCACATGTTTAATTAGCCTTTTCTGCTGCAACAAGGATGTCAAACAACTTCAGTGTCACTGATATGCTGCCAGAGGAGAAAATAAACATTGATACAAGAATGAAATACAGCAAAAGTCAACCTTCCCTGACAACTTCCAGGAACATGGGAAGAGCTGACAGTGCTGAGTTATCTACAGTGAGCATGTAAATCTGAATTACTTTTTCTTCTATTTTTCTTGTTTTATACAATGCAAAGAGGCTGATAACTGGGTTTGAGGTGCTCTTAGAGCCAGACTGTGATCTTTGGGACACAGGTCATGACAGAGCACGTCACTGAGCGTGGGTGGCACTTGGGACTGCCCATATTGCATGGAATTATGGAATGGCTTGAGTTGGGAGGGTCTCAAAGCTCATCCATCCCACTCCCTGCCATGGGCAGGGACACCTTCCACTAGCCCTGGTTGCTCCAAGCCTCGTCCAACCTGGCCTTGGACACTTCCAGGGATGGGGCAGCCACAGCTTCTCTGGGCAACCTGTGCCAGGGCCTCATTGTAAAGAATTTCTTCCCACTATCCAACCTAAACCTGCTCTCTTTCAGCATTTCCAGAGCTTTCCCCACTCCAGGCACCAACCCCAAGCCTCCAAAAGCAACACGAAAGCTCTGCCAACATCACAGATGCATTTCAACAATGAAATTACACTTCTCAGATTTAAAAAGAAAAGCTTATTAAGGGAAAACAATGTTCTTTTTTTCAACTATTCCTATAAAAAGTTCACAGTAAGTTACTTTCCCCTCAGAAAATTTTGCTGCCATGTGGAATGAACTCCAGAGCCCAGAGTACAGAATGCAAGTTGTTTTTTTTGCTTTAGGAGATCTGTTTTCAGTCTAATAGGCTGCCAAGCACCAGTTACGCTTGAAAGAGAAGTACTTAACTGGTAAATCATCATCCTGAAGAAAACAAGGATGATATTTTTGTTCATTATTTATCTTTAAAACCAGTAACCAATGGAGACAACCGGCTGCCACCTCTCCATTGGGAACTCCTCTGCTCCCATGGAACAGATGTAGGGACATCTCACCATCCCAGAGGGAGGAGGACACTCCTCTTCCCAAAAAATCCTGAGCTCCTTTGCTGAAATGGCATCTTGGGTGTGATAAGCAGCACGAGCCACAGTGGCAGCTTTTGTGTGGGATCCTCAGCCCTCCAGCAACGGGATCCAGGCTGGGAAATTCATTACAGTAATGAGATTATAACTTAATATATGTATGGTGGGAGTATTCCAAAGGCTCCTTTTGCTGCTTTACAAGGCAGCTTTGGCCGTGGGTTGAGCAAAATTGTACAAGTGATGAGTCTTTTAATTTACTCTCCACATGGGAAAAATCAGGAGAAACACACATCGTTTGATGAACAGGAAAAGGAATCTTTAAATCATTTAATTAAAAAAATTAAGCCCAGTTCATTTCAGCTCCAGATTCTCTCCTTAACATGAAAGATTTCATTTTGTTCTTGCACTTTCACTCCTTTTCAATGTTTTCTCATTTTCCATTTTACTCAATTTTAAAAGGAGAAATGTTCATTTGAAATGGAAGCCCCCAAAGTTCTGATTTCCAAATTAAATGTCTTTTAGAAATACTTCCAATTTGAAAACATCCCTATATACACCTTTAAAAAAAAAAATTACATCACCCACCAAATTCAATTCAGCTTTGCCAGGAGGGTTAGTTCCCAAACTCTTTTTTTTAGTGTGGTAAAATTACTATAAATCAAAAAAAATTCTTCTCATCTCCAGAGCTCAACCCAACCTTCCCTGCTGAGTGGAGCTGGACCCTCAGGAGCATTTGGGAAGAAAACACTGAATTTCTGCCCATGTGTTCTACAAAGAACAGCACCATTGTGCTCCCAAAGATCAGACAGGGCAGCGACAAAACCAGGTTATTTCTGGTGGCAGGGAGGGCTCTGCACACCTCTGTGTGTGTGGGTGGAACCTGCAGCTTCTGCCCTCCAAAACTTCTCAAACAGAAACTTGGTACCAAAGGAAGAGCTCACTGGGACCTTTAAACGCCCTCCCTGGGACTCTCACTCACCTCCACACAGGTAAATCCACACCTTTCATTTGCTTTGCAAGATAGGGCTGTTTCCAGCAGGAATGTGGGGATGGACAGACACTTGCAGCAGGATCAGTGGTACCAACTCATCCTGTACTTAACACAGGGGCCTATGAAGCTGATATTTCACATTTTTATCATGCTTGGCTCAAAGACTCTGATTTCAGGGAGAGAAGAGCAGGTGCAAAAAGCCTTTGAGTGGAGAAGGCTCTGGTGGCTCTGACAGGGTTAAATTCCAAATCTCCAGGCTGTGCAATCAGTGATCCCTCTTGAAAGGAGTCCTTAATTGGTTATAAGCAATTAACATTTATTCACACAAGCTGGGGTAACACATCTATAATAAATCCCAAGCTGTAACCACGAGGATGCTCCCACAGAATACCTGCCTTCCCCTCCCAGCCAGGAGAAGGCAAATGAGCCTTTTCCAAGTGTTTTCAGCCTGTTACCATGCCAATGTCCTCCCGGTATTTTATGTTTTCCTTCCAACTGCTCTGACTCTCAATTAATATGCACCATTTAGACAGGTTTTATTTCAAATTACACCCTTCTCGAGATGTGCCATTTGAAAAGGAAGTCCTTTTAAAAAATCCCCTCACAGAATTACATCCTCACAAAACATTTACTGGATGCAATGACCCCCCTGAAAGCAGGCAGCCTGCTTACCATAAAATGTCAGCTGTCCTCGTGCCACGTTCTTCCCTCTCACGTTTTCAGCCACACATTCATACAGTCCAGCGTCTTCCTGCTGAAAATTTGGGATTTCGAGGAGTCCACTCGACCTGTGCCTCCTGGCCTTCCTGGGGATCTGTTTCCCATCTGCCCTCCTCCAGCTGATTGTAGGAACTGGGCTAAATAAGGAAAATAAAGCAAAATAAGACTTGCAGGAAAAGCTCCTGTCAACTTAACTCTGTCTCATGTTTGAGCATGATGAAGTCATGGCCAGTGTGAAGGGTCTGGCACAGGACTTGGGACTATTTTATTATGGGTAGGTTATATACAACATAAATATAGATACATTTACCAGTAAAGTATTGCTCACAGAGCCTTAAACCCAGGAGATTTTATATTATTAAATGCTGGTTTTGACACAATTCTGATGTGACAATACAGCCATTTTAGGGTGGGGAGGCCCTGGCACAGGTAGCCCAGAGAAGCTGTGGCTGCCTCATCCCTGGAAGTGTCCAAGGCCAGGTTGGGCAGGGCTTGGAGCACCCTGGGCTGGTGGAAGGTGTCCCTGCCCATGGCAGGGGGTGGAATGGGATGATCCTTAAAATCCCTTCCAACTCAACCCTTAAAATCCCTTCCAAGCCATTCCATGATTCTATGATCATTTTCCTCACAGTCCAAACATTTTGAAAGTGTTGTCAGTGTTTACTCATGAAACCCCAGATGTGTTTTAAGTGTTACATGAGACCTCAACACAGGAGATCCCCAAACACATCTTCCCAGATTAAGTTCCATCTCTCTTCCTTGAGAATTTATATTTTTGGTGAGCCGAGCTCCTGCTCCCAAAGCCCTCTGTGGGATATGAAAACTGGCAGTAAGTAACTCCTGCTGAGGGAAGTGAATCATTAGGAACTGCTGCAAACTCCACAACACAGGGCTACGAGAGTGAGAAGCTGGAGGAATAATAATAATGGATCAAACTTACTTCCCCAAGGCAAAGCACTCCAGTTTCACCGTTGTTCCTTTTGCAGATGGAACCGTTTCTGGGAACTGCACTTCTATTTTTGGCTCATACTCTCCCATCACCCCTGTGAACATAAAAGAGATGCTAAGGCTTGGTTGAATTTCTGCAGTAAATTCACAAGTGTTCCCGTGCCAGCACAGAGCTGTTCTATACATCATTACTTGCCCAATTAATCCATTCATTTTAAACATGGCCTGTTCCTAACAGCCGTGGAGTGGGGGCTCTTTTCCCATTTACTGCCAGAGGAGAATCTGAACCAGCTCTCCACACCATCTGCCAAAGATTAAAGTCTCTTCATGGCTCCGTTGCTTTTCTCTTTTGAATATTCAGAATTTTTGCAGGTAACTCGTGAAATAAGGAAAGCAATAACAAGGGAGGTTCAGCACCTTCTAGAAAATGAAATGTGGAACAAACAGCCATTAGGAAAAGTTTTAAAAGCACTGGAGTTAATAGAGGTTTCTATTAACTCCAAGGATTTCGATGTGCAGAGATCATCTACTCTTCGGGCAATTTCTTTATTTTTACTGCCCCAGTAAATCACGGAGCGTGGCAGCCTCTTTATGAAATTGTGTTTAAAAATTTGTGCACATAAAAAGGCCATTACACTCGTGATAAATGGCTACATTTCTAGTCACTGTACTGCCTTAAACCCGGCACATATAATTTCCCCAATAGTGATTATCAGCTAATTGATGATTGCAGTTTAAATCTCAACAGTGTGGAGCTTCCTGGCCCTTGGCCAAGGGAGGAGCAGTGCTGGGTCAGACCAGATGAATCCCACAAATACAGGATCGAGACAGCAAAAGGGATACAGAGATGGGATAACAGGAGTCTGCAGAGATATTCAGGTGCTAGTGGTGGCCTATAACTGCTGTGCTGCTCTCTGGCCCCCTGATTTGCAAACCCCCCTTTTTGCTTTAACTTTTCACAGTTAAAAAGCTGAAAATACTCAGTATGAGGCTTACATCAAGTCTGCCTTTCCCTGCTGACCCGAATATTACCTGTTCTGATGCAACAGCAGGTGACATCACCTTCCTTCCAATGCATTAATTGCAAATAAGTGTTGCTGCTGGATTCTATAAAGAGCGGCTGCTGCACAGCCTCAGTCATCAAAACTAAATGCATTTATTAAAAATACAAATACTCCCCCCATAGTCATGTCCTGGCCAGCACATACAGCAGGAAATCCATGAGTCTGTGCCAACATTCCAGCATTTCCATACCATACAAACAGGAATTACAGGGAATGCTGTTCCCTAGCCCTCTGCACGTTGACACTGCAGTCCCGAAGGGCTGGAAGTGTCTGGCACAGTTATCATGGAAAATCCTCTCTGTTCTCCTGACTGTGACTTGCCAAAACTTTGCAATCTTGCCTAAATTTTCTCCAATATTTTCTGGTGCTAAATATTTACTGTTGGAGCTTCAGCCAAGGCAAGAGCAGCCACCGCCCAGAGGTCTCTGAGGACAAGGCTGGGTGGGAATGTTTGGGAGCAGCAGCTGATGACAAAACTCTTGAGATCTTTTCCCAGAAGAGTATTTCCACCTTCTGCAATGAAGACTGCAGATTGGTGAGAGGGAGAGCTTTGGAAGCTTCCCATGAAAGCCTGACCAGGTTCAGGCAACTGTCCCACCTTGGAAGATCTTGGCTTTCAGCTGGAGGCTTCCCTGAAGAATCACAGAATATTCACCTGACAGAGAAGGAGGCAGGAACGGGAGGGAGGAAAAATGGCTTTTTTTCCCCTTCTCTTCACTCACACTTTTTATTGTTCCCATTTCTTTACCTTGGGCTGGGACTGGAGAGCTCTAATCCCAGGGTGACATAACCCCACACTGGGATGGGAACTACAGCTGCCTGGGGCTGCAGGACATCAGCTCCAGCCACTGCTACCCACAGCCCTGCACCTCTGACAACCTCACTGCAAGCTCCAACCACCTAAAAATCAGGACTTTTACCTGGAAAAATCACAAGGCTCCCTCTACAATGATAACCTACCCACATATATATATATATATATATACATAGGGTATGATGTGAGTCTGGCTGTCCCAGCTCAAAAGGAGCAACACTGTGCACTTCAGACATCTCCATCCTGAATCCAAGACCATTTCCATGCAGATAATCCTTATTTTTCCTGCTGTTCCTGGGTGATTTAACACCTGACTTAGCTGTGCAGGTGGCAGGGCTGGAGGAGGAAATAAAGGACTAAGATAACCCGGGGTTTGGGGCTCGGTGTCACAGCACATCAGATGCTCGACGTGTTTGCATTTCAGAGGCTTTTGTATCTTCCAATTTCAAGGCTTAAAAACGTGTTTTTGGATGAAAGTCCCAGGAATTCAGAAGGAAGCTAATTTGTCTGAGAAGATGATATGCATTTCCTGACAACACCTGTGAAATGTTAGAGTTTAATTGGCCCATCCAGCTGCTGCTGATGGTAATTTTATTCCAGAACTATTTCAGTTTTTTCCTACTGTTACTGTTGTAATTCTCATGTCAAAAATCCGAAGCACATTTTAAAGAGAAGCAGTGAAGTACTGCAGGAGCAGTGGCTCTCAACACCTGGATGCTCCCAGCTTTGGGGTGGGATGGTCCAGGGGCTCCTAAAGGTGCTGCAGGAGGGATGGTGCCCCAGGTATCCACTGCTCTTCCAAGGGGGAAGAAGGTGCAGAGACTGGTTTTTATTAAATGGAGAAGGCAGGTTTGCTGCCTTTCCTCCTCTCCCTCCAGTCCACATCCCTCAGTGAGCTGCCAGAAGGCTTGTCTGGCATCAAATTTGAATTCCTTTTCTTCTGAGCTACAGTAATTCTCCAATCCTAGTGGAAACCTTATTTCAGGCTTTAGGATCATTCTTGTTCTTTGGTGTCATAAAAATAGCTCAGAGAGTCCTTTCTCCACAATGGGAGGTACCAGCTGGTCGTGTCAGGACTAACTCCAATCCATGCAGAACCCAAGCCAAAACCAAACTTTAACTCCTTGGGAACTCTAAAAAAACATAAAATCTTTTACATTTTCCTTTTATACACCAGCACTTACATGATGTGAAAGGGAGAGCTGCTTGACATTCCTGTGTGGAATATGGGTGCACATTCCAAGACAGGTCCCAAACCATAAATGTGCAGGTTTTGGCAATGCTACATTTACATGATATTGTATTTCAGTACTTTTTCCACCTGCACTGCAAACACCCTCACTGCCACAAAAGCATAGAGATACGTGGAAATATTTAAACAGAGGGTGACAACATGTATTTGTGAGATGGGAATTAAGAGGGATAGAGGAATTCCATCCTTTTCCCAGCACACACTGCACTTTGTACCCTGTATTTATCACCAGCAATAAGCTCTGTCTGCAGGAGCAGAGCCTGAGCTCCCGGTGACCGTGGCAGCTGTTCCTACCTCCATCCCATAACCAGCTCTGATATTCATCTCTCTAAGGAGGAAAAGCTGTCTGAGGATAACTAATGGGATAAGAGGCACCTTCTGATTCCACAGCACAGCGACAGGGAAGGGACCTCAGTCCTGCCAAGGATGGTACGTCCCGCTGGTTACAAAAAGCTGCAGCAAAAACCATCAGGAGATCTCTGGAGCCTCACAGCAGAAAACAGGGAAAAGAGGAGCACAAAAGGAGCAGGTGGGGAAAGCAATCTGCCCACAGGATCTGATTTCATCCCCTACAGCTGCATACCTTTTCCTCTTGCAGCTTCCAGCTCAGCAGCCTGGCATTGTAAAGCAGGCAGTGCTGTAAAAACCACATGGAAAGGCTGCTTGGCCAGGCTGGTTGTGTTCAGGTAAAACAACCATGACAAGGACGGCAGCTATTGGACGTAAAAAGCCTAAATGACTCACAACTGAGGCTAGAAAAATTACTGCCATAAACTGAAGAAACGTGAAAAGAAACCTTGGGCTTCCTGAAGGTGAGATTTCAGCCCCACACATCCCACCCTGCACCGTGAGCTGTGCTGGGAATGAGGGCTGTGCCTCAGTCCATGGAATCACAGACTGGTTTGGGTTGGGAGGGACTTAAACCTCATCCAGTGCCACCCTCTGCCATGGGCAGGGACACCTTCCACCAGCCCAGGTTGCTCCAAGCCCCATCCAACCTGGCCTTGGACACTTCCAGGGATGGGGCAGCCACAGCTTCTCTGGGCAACCTGTGCCAGGGCCTCACCACCCTCACAGGGAAGGATTTCTTCCTAATCTAATCCTGTCCTTTGTCAGTTTAGAGCCATTACTCCTTGTTCTATCACTACACACCCTTGAAGTACCTCTCCAGCACTTCCAGCCAAGGAGGGTTTGCAAAAATGTCCTATTGCTGGAGTACTTAAAAATACTTCTTCTTCAACACTTAAATTGTTAGTATGAAGCAAACTTAACTATTCCTTTTTGACTTTCCCCACTCTCCATCCACAGGAATTGTGTCAACATGATGGGAACAGTGATGAGGCTGCAGCAATGAGCCCTGGTTTTACAAGCAAGGAATTTTGGTCAAACACCATTATGTGACAATGGATCTTCTTCTAGAAGAAGTTGCTAATAACGCATTTCTATTTCTGGAACAAATGTCCTATCTGTTATCCTTTAAACCCGACACATTTTAATTAATTTTAATTGTAAATTAACATGTAAATTTATTTTTCTTATCTTCACAAAAATGACAACGATACAAATCAATTGTCTGTATAAATTTAGAAATCCTCTTTTGCTTTCTTTTTGCTTTTTTGTATTATTCCACAGACTACTAAAAATAGCCCTAATTCTGCTGGGAAATACAGCCTGAGCTCACAGTTACCGAAACAACAAAGTGCTTTTGTTCACTTTCAGGCTGCATAAAATGAGCACAACTGGTATATCCAGACTCTAAAATCTATTTTGTTTCCTGTCTTTTGCCAACTCTCACCATGTATTTCTTTTATAATTATTGCCTGACACTGCAAGTTGTTCCCAGTGGTGGGAAGAGCAACCTTGGCCACAGCATCCTTAAATCCCACAGCTGGCCATGACTTTGAAGCCCAGCGAGAGCAGAGGTCTTCAGCCTCACTGTGAAGGGGAAAAACCTCTCCCTTTACCCCGATATAAATATTTCAGGCCATTTCTTAATTTCTGGGGGACAGCCAGTCAAAAAAAAAAAGCAGGACAACAGCTCCAAGCCCAGCCGGGGATTCTCTGTCCCAGTCCTACCGTCGTTCCTGAGGATGAGGGGGGTGGGGGGGCCCAGGACCTTGCTGTTGGTCACGGTGTTGGTCACCACACAGGTGTAGTTGCCCACGTCTGAGGCCTCCACCTTGGCGATGTAGAGGTTGCCCGTCTCCTGCGACACGAAGCGCCGGTTGTCCTGGTGCACGAAGGTCGGGTACTCGTTGAAGATCCAAGCATAGGTGAGCTCTGGAAGCACAGGGTTGGTTAGGAAAATTGGAGATATCACACCCCACAAAATGGTCTTTGTGGCTACAAATACGGATTTCCAACTGTGACACCTCCGAGCCTGCACACTGATCTCACGTTCTTGTCACTCCTCCAAGTTCTCCCGCAATATGATGCACTTTACAAGAATGTCACCTTTCTGTCGTGAACGTTTCAACCTGACTCGTGACAGAATATGATGTATTTTACAAGAGTCCCACCTTTTTGTCATGAACACTTCAACCTGACTCTTGACTTCTTTCATTCCTCCTTGTTAATTTTTTTTCCCTTCGAAGACAGCTGGGAGGAGGATCTGCCGAGCCCTGTCATCACCCACTCTATGTTTTATTCCTTGGGAATTCCCGAATCAGCAAAAAACTGAACACTAAATTAAGCAGCTGTAATCCTCTATGTGACTAATTACACAGTGCTCTGTGTTTTATAAGGCATCTTTGGAAGTTTATTTGGGCAATAAAACAAGAAGTGAGAGAGATGTCGCGGCGGCTGCAGAGTTTGTGGGTGAGGTTAATGCAACATAACCCTGTTACATCTGCCTAAGTCACACTGACAAAGCTTGGGGAACTAAAGTGGCTACAAGATCACTGCAGTTTTCTAAGGGCACACTAATTATACTAAAAATCATACTTTTATTTTAATACTCTAATGAGTCGTAACCATAATTGACCTCAACTCCCATTAAGTACTTCGGGAAATATATTCTGCCCTCATGTTCCACTGTTTACTGGGAGAAGTGGCTGAATGCAGATTGCTGGCTTTTATTTATTTATTTCTAACAACAGGATTCTGAAATGCCTGCTCAGACTTTTAGGAAGATATGATAATTATGTTTATGAGGGAATATCTAATCATCATATTTACACATGTGCATCTCATTATAAGGAGCCTCATGCTGATGTCAAGAGGATACTCAGAGCAAATAAGGTACCACTTCTCAGCCAGCTTATTATTTACTGTAAGTAGTTAAGTTTGGTTGTTTTTTTGCTTTTGTGTTGTTTTTTTTAAAATTTACTCTTGATGAACAATTATGCTGCTCCTCCAGAAGCAGCCAGCAACAGGCAAGCAAACATCACTGCCCCGGGATGCACAGAGGTGTTGGAATTTGAGTGACTCTGCACACAGCAGGTTTGCACTAAAGCCCCCTGAGCTCTTCAGTATGACAACATTTTGCATTGACTGTGGAATGGTGAACTGACCACAGGAAAACACAGGATGGGAGGGTCTTTCTTGATCAACCCCTGTCCCCCATCCTCCCCAGGAGGTCAAATCATCCTGTTCATAATTACACCCTAAACCAGCAAGAGTTTTGGCTTCTGCTTCCCTGTATGAATTGATATGACTTTAATTTTTAAGAACCCTCTAATTTCCAGGTTAAATATTTCATTGCTATTCTATAGGTCTGCTCTTCTGGGCTAATGATCCCTTTGGCTTGAAGAGTTCTTGCCTCTTTGCTGGTGAGAGCCATTGAGAGCCCTTCTGCCGTCATTTCCAAGACAGCCTTTGCAACCCTATAATGGTTGGAGGAGCTTTTCCTCGCCTCTGCCTTAGTTAAAAGTCTTGAATAATTGTGTCACTTGAGCTGAGTGCCAGCTTGGAAACCCCTGGTAAGCAGGTCACAGGCAAGCAGAAGGCAAATGGAAAGCTGTGCAATGTTGATGATGTGGGATCCCTCCAAACAGAGCAACCCAACACAGGGGGAACTAAAAGAGACCTATTTCTGGGGTGCAAAACATCAAAATCTCCCCAAAAGCCATCTTCAAACTATTAATTTGGCTGCATAACACTGAGGAACTTCAGTAAAGAACTGAAGTTGCAGCTCTGCCTTCCTTTCATCACAACAAATCACAAAGATATAACTGCCCAACATACACAGAATTAGACTTTAGGAGCAGTCCTTTACTATATAATACTTAAAACAACTGGGTAATTCTCTCTCTCTCTCAGATAACATGGGACTAATGGAATATAGAGCACAGGGAATAGCACAGACTAGAGCACCTCTAAGTGCATTTGCTTTTGCAGCAACATGTAAATAAATACTGTATCAAACTCCCTTTGATTTCCTTAGAGATCCCAGTGCAATATTTATGGTTTTTCAAACTTGACAGATTTCTTTTGATAAGTTTTCACTTCCTAATTGCTCTGGAAGTGATAGACAGCTCACATCCCATAGGCAATTTGTAACAACTGTGTAAACAGACACTTAAAATACAGCCCGAGGTGGCGCGTGATGGAAACGTTTCCCAAAGTTACCACCACGGAGTCTTTGAGCACAAAGAACGAGCAGCAACGGGCACTTTGTGGTTTTCTAATTACACATTAGACTCTAATTCCTTCAGGAATTTATCATGAACTTCTCCTTTCTAATTTGAGGCCCTTTATGTGTAATTTTTGCCTCTTTTACCACACTTTCTGTTTCCCCTTTAAAGCACATTCAAGTAGGTCTCTCAAACCCGGAATATAACAGGAAGATTTCGGACCTGTATGTGCTGGTTTTAAAGGAAAAGGGAAATTCCAGAAGCTGCAATCCCAGGCCAGCTGCAGAGCACCACCTTGACCACCCACTGCCCAAAGACCCAGGCTGTGCTGTGATACCTTACTTTTCCGCACTGCCTGGAATTCCATGAGAGATCAGGATGAGATGAAGATTTTTTGGATGGTGAATCTTCACTTCTGTAATGATTATCAGGACAAGAGGATGGAGAAGTTACTTGTACACTTGGTACAGATGCTCTCGTAACACCAGATGGAAGACACTCAACCCCAAAACCTTCCTTGCTCCACAGACCACACAAAGAGCCTTTTTCATCCACACAAATCCTTGCTGATGGGCTACACAGCCTTGGCTCCCTGGAATACACACTCTACCACAGCAGGCAGATGCTGGAAGAAGGAAAAGTGGATTTCTTTTTGCCCAAGGAATGTACATTTCTGTACACAAGGTCACAAAGTGATGAATATTTGCTCTACTAAAGCACTAGAGATGAGGAAGACTGTCCTAAATTAGTTAATGTCACTCATGTCTTCCAAAGGAGCCTATGGAAAATTTGGGAAAAAGAGCAGTGGAGGTGACAGGCGTGATACAAGCAGCTTAATTTGACTTTAAGCCAGCAATTAAAAAAAAAATAAATTACTCAAGGCACTGGAACACAGATTCAGGATGTTTAAGATCTGCCTCTCAAGTTTACTATCAGAATGCAGACAAACTCTTTTTCTGCCCCCAAAAAAGAAAAGCTCTGAGCCAATTTCCAGGCCACCAGCAGAGAAACCTGGAAAATGAGAGATGCAGAGATTTCTAGCAAAACCCACAGCCCCCTTGGGTCTGTTTTTCCTGATTACCTTCAGATCTCATCACTTTTCTAAAGCACTCAATGATAAACTCAATTAAAGTCTCTCTGTGCTGCCCCCAGAATATTCTGCTCAAGACAAGAAACAAAACTAAAGATACTTCATCTTTCAAACTTCTTCTAAATAACACCAAGTAGCGAAAAAAAGTTACTGAAAGCTGCACAGAAATTCTGCTATGAGTAATTATTATAATTAGACCTTATGGTTTTGCCAAAACAATGTTCTCTGGTTGCCTGTCTTGGGAAATTCATGTGTTTTGTCTTTGCCTTTAAGTACAAGAAACATTTCTTGATTTTTTTTTCTTTTAAAGTCTCTTCCATAAAGTCAGGGCTGCCACTAAAAAGGTCTCTGGGGCTATTATGGAAAAAGCTATTAAAATATCAAGATTATGGTGACCATAAAGCTGAGGAGAAGAATGAAATTTTGGAACTAGTATTAGCCAAAAAATGGGGATCATTTATCATTTTTAATAAGAACAGTGTGGGTACAACACACTATTATTTTTTATAGGTTTTACTGACAGTTACAGAGATGAATCCAATCTTTAATGATTCCTATAATTCCTGTGTTATCACCCACTATGTCACTCTCAAGTTGGACAGGCAGGGACTGCTTTTCTGTGTGAAACACAAGGTTTGCAGCATTTCCTGTCAACTGTGATGACAAAAATTAAATTTCACTACGCGCGGCAAGAAAACAAAACAAAATGAAGGAAATTAGGAAACCCTCCCTTTAAACTGTCCCAAGCAACCCAAATAATGGCTGCAAGAGTACACAATTTTGAGATATTCTGAAAGGAAAGTGAGGTTCATCCCAGCATGTAACAAACAACACCACGTGAAGTTTTTCCTGGACAGAAAGTTATTCCCTCAACTACTGCAGGGCAACTGGTGGTGGTGAGAAACTGGATTTAACACTTTGATTTTATATGAATTAGCCAAGTTTCTTGGCTCTGTGTGTGTTACTGTCTGGCTGGAAAGTACCAAACATATTTATATATTTACATAATAAACATATTTCATTGTATCCGAACACTATAATGTTTTATATCTTCAAATACTATTTTTTCCAATTAAATTAATTTTATTTTTTATATCCAAATACTATAATGGCATTTTGCTGTACAAACCCATTGTTGTTGTAGAAACTTCTACAACACGGGAGCTGGAAAGGAAGCTCCAAGCACCACAACAAACTGCCTGGGGAAGGGGAAAAGAGGATTATCAGGGAAAGCTCCTCTACACATCTCTCCATTCCCTTCTGCAAACTGCACTCTGGGTCCTGGAGTTTTGGGCCATTTTTCTCTCTCACTGTTTTATTTTAATAGCAAACTACGTGAATTATACACTGCAGGTATTTTTTGTGGGCCTCCAGACCGTTTCATCACCCTGCTAGAACACTGGATCAATTTTTTATCTTCTAGCCTTAAATAATCCCGGAATAATTTAAAGGAATTAACCTGGACAAAAAGCGTCGCCCGATAATTCTTCCCTTGGCTCTGTGCTCTGCCCTCTCCATCACACAGGGCTGCCCAGCTACACCACACCACGGCCCTGGGCCTCAAATGCAGGTTTTAATAAAAGGAATGATAAATAATGAACAAGATTAATCTGAGG